ATTCTGTGTATCTAAGAAAGAATCCAGCCCTTTTTTACAGCAATCCACTGAGCTGGCCAGAACCAACTCTTGATGGAGTCTAGTCCACATTTTCACAGCTCTCACTGTGAAGAAACCTTTCCGTGTTTGGAGATTACATTTAATTTCCTCCAGACGTAAAGAGTGCCCCCTTGTCCTTTGTGATGAACTCAGGGTGAATAACTCTGCACCAAGTTCACTATATGAACCACTGATGTATTTATACATGTTGATCATATTCCCCCTTACTCTCCTCTTCTCAAGAGAGAATACATTCAGTTCCACTAATCTTTCCTCAAAGCTGAGCTCCTCCATGCCACTTATTAGTTTGGTTGTCCTTCTCTGTACTTTCTCCAGTTCTCCACTTTTTGTGAATTGGTACCCAAAACTGAACTGCATATTCCAGATGAGGTCTTACTAATGATTTGTACAGGGGTAATATGATATCTCTCTCTCTGGAGTCTATACCTCTTTTGATACAAGAGAAGATTTTGCTCCACCATTGATTCCCCCAGTTGTACCCCCCTAGTATGTATGATGCATGCATATTATTAGCCCCCAAGTGCATAACCTTACATTTATCAACTTTAAACCTCATTTGCCACATAGTTGCCCAATTAAACAGTGCATTGAGGTCAGCTGCTTAAACACATCCTGTAAGGACGTTATTCAACTGCACAGCTTGGTGTCATCTGCAAAGACTGAAATGGGATTTTTAATTCTAGACCCTATATTGTTTATAAATATATTAAAAAGTAAGGGTCCCAACACTGAACCTTGGGGAACACCACTGACAACCCTAGAGCATTCAGAGTATGAATCATTAACCACTACTCTTTGAATATGATCTTTTAGCCAGTTTTCCAGCCATTTACATACCGATTTTTCCAAGCCCGTAGACTTTACCTTACACATCAACCGTGTGTGGGGAACTGTGTCAAATGCTTTTGCAAAATCCAAGTATACCATATCCACCGCCACCCCTCTGTCCAAGGTTTGGCTCACCTCTGCATAAAAAGAAATCAGATTTGTTTGACAACTTCTGTCTTTCATGAATCCATGCTGTCTGTTGCTTAAAATATTTTTTCCAGCAAGAACTCATCTATGTGGTCTTTTTTTAAACTCTCCAGTATCTTCCCAACTATAGAAGTTAAACTAACAGGTCTATAATTACTTGGTAAAGATTTTGACCCCTTTTTAAATATTGGCACCACATTGGCCTTACCCCAATCCAGTGGTATTATGCCAGTCATTAAAGAGTCCCTAAAAATTATAAACAGTGGCTTCAAAATAACAGAGCTCAATTCTTTAAGGACCCGTGGGTGTATGCCATCCGGTCCAGGTGCTTTATTCACCTTTATTCTGTCTAAATATTTTTGGATCATGTCAATTGTGAGCCAAAATGGATCATCTAGAGCTGTGTCAATACCATGCCCATTATGGACAAGAGCTCCCCCATTCTCCTTTGTATACACAGAGCTGAAGAAGGTATTAAATAAATTTGCCTTTTATTTGTCCCCAGTCATCCACTCTAGATTATTTTGTAAAGGGGCTTTATGCTCGGACCAAACCTTTTTACTATTAATATATTTGAAGAATTATTTGGGGTTGGTCCTGCTATCTTTTGCAATCTGTTGTTCATTTTCAATTTTTGTGGCCTTTATTTCCTTTTTGCATATTCTCTAGGCTTGTATTTTTTAAAACTTAAGGTGACACTAAACTCACATTTTTTATGAGATAAAATATATGCAATATGTGTAAACATAAGTACCTTCTGTCTCTTCTTTCCTTTGTTTCATCTCTCAAATACAATTTTTTCTGCTATCCTCAGATGTCTGCTATCCTCAGATGTGTTTGTTCTCCATGGCCCCTTGTGTATGGGAACATTGCCACCCTTTCCTGCTCCTCCTTAGATGGACTACATGCTGTATTTATGTACAGTACATACACATAATGCTGTACGGGTATTGTAGTACTCATAGAGAGGAGCATGTGACCAGAAATAACAGCATTGATCACTCTCCACTTGTAGCGGTAAGGTGCATCAGTGGAGTACAGGTAGCATGCACAGGACAAAAAGAAGCCTGAAAACTATTTTTAAACTTAAAGTCATTGTGAACCCTTACATATACCAAATGAAGTGACTGACCTCAGGTGACACACAGAGATGAAAAAAATCCTCCTACACAAGTCGTACCTGTTTATCTGTAGGCTGCTCTTCTCTTCATTTGTTCAAAGTCCAGAATTTATAAAGCTTGTCTAAACATTCAGAACATAGGGAGTGGAGAACTGAAATTACACACTGCAGAGCTCAGGGAGGAGAGCTCTGAGAGCTAATTGGAAGGCAAGGACACACTCCCTTCACACAGCACACAAGAATAGAGTTGAGGTTGTCAATCACATGCTGTGTGCTAGAGGTTCCTTCCCTGTCATATTTTTTCCCTTGGTGTCAGGAATGCTTTTCAGAAGTGATTCATGCACATACCAGAGGCATGAGGTAGCAAACAGAATTATACTTAGTACTCTTAACTGAGACAAGTACACACTATAGAAGTATATGCATTGTTCATATTTCATGTCTGAGGTTTACAACTACTTAAAAAAAATAGAGCCATAGTAAACTTGATATTTTAGAACAATTGATATAAAAAATTGAGTTTTGTGTCAGTTAAACTCTAGGCACAAATTAATGCAGCTCTTTAATCATTAATACATCATTATGTATGAGCTTCCTGCAGTCCCTATAAAACAGAGCTGGATTGTGAAAGAAGGTGGCAACACAAGGAGCCAATCAGTTCATTTTCTGACAAAAAAACATTCCAATAGGTAGGGATAGCAGAGTGACAAAGAGAGAAGCTCATCACTGTGCTACTTCAACCATTTGTTGGGGTTTTTTTTTTTTGCATTTATCAACCACGTATAACAAAACTCTATCAACCGTACACTTACCAGACACAAAAGAAGCAAACAGGAGCAGTTATTTGTTAGGATTAAGTTTGTACCAGTGTGGGAATGCTTTGGTGTAGAATTGCCCTTCCTCCTAATTCAGAAGTGTTAGTTGAGGGTGCTTGGCATCTTATATGATTGACCATGGGAGTCTTCATTAATAGCTGTACCAAGCAGGTCCAGCTGAGGTATAGCCAGAACATATTGGTGGAACTATAGTGCCAGATGTCCTGGAACACCATTTTAAGGGTGTGACCAGAAAATGGAAAGTCTAGAACAATCCAATTAGCCCAATTGCATATTTTTATTTTCCAGATGATTGTGTACCCAGTGGGTCATGCATATGTAAAATAAGTTTTAAAAAAATTTGCATGCACTGGAAAGGATGTTTTCTGTATTCCAAGTCTAACGTCAAATGAACAGCTCACAATCTGATACATTATGAATTCCTGCATAAAGCTAGGGTCTTGGAGTCCTTCATTTCCCAATAGCAGGATCTCTAAGTGGTGAAAATAATTTTAAAAGACAGCTATTTCTCCGCTCTACCACCTGCTCTTCCTTTTATAGTTTTTCTGTAGTGGAATCTCTTATTTCCAGCTGTTTCTAACTGGTTCTTTCCTGCCCTGCACATTATAAAATAGTGATATACATACATTATGAAATAGCTTATGTGCTCTTACTAGAAGCACCACATAGTTTTAAAATGAAGAGATGCTGAAATTATTGAGTTTACGCAGTTAACCCTCTTACACCAATGAGAGATAATCCAATATGTGAATTACCACATTTAGCACTTCAATATTCAATCAAGGTAAATTATATGGGAGCCATGCTGAATAAAGTCCAGTTAACCCACCTTTAAAATAAAAGGGATGCAGTCAGACTGCATTAAAAGTAAAGTGTGTGACAGAGATTTTTCCTTTATTTTTCTTTTTTTTTTTTCAGAGCTGTGGTAGGGACCCTCCAAGTCCTCCATTACAGCCTGCCTGTTAAAAACTACTGGAGGAGCAGATAAAAGACCAGTCACCCTGCACAAGAAGAGAGAGCAGCAGTGACTGGTCTTTATTACAGGACGTTACTTTAAAGTTTCACACTGGATTATTGCACAGATCTGGAAGATAGACACTAATTGCAGCAAGAATTATGTAAGAATATACTGTACACGCCTTTCGTATTTACACAAAATTTGATAATCCTAGAATTTAGCTTTAGAACTAATCGTAGTACAAAATATGAAGTATCTATACCAAAGAACAAAAATATAATATACACTATATTGCCAAAAGTATTGGTACGCCTACCTTTAAATTCATATGAAATTTAATGGCATCCTAGTCTTAGTCGATAGGGTTCAATATTGAGTTGGCCCACTCTTTTGCAGCTATAACAGCTTCAACTCTTCTGGGAAGGCTGCCCGCAAGGTGTAGGAGAGTGTCTATGGGAATGTTTGACCATTCTTCCAGAAGTGCATTTGTGAGGTCAGGAACTGATGTCAGACGAGAAGGCCTGGCTCACATTCTCCGCTCTAATTCATCCCAAAGGTTTCCTATCGGGTTGAGGTCAGGACTCTGTGCAGACCAGTCAAGTTCCTCCACCCCAAACTCACTCATCCATGTCTTTATTGACTTTGCTTTGTGCACTGGTGTGCAGTCATGTTGGAACAGGAAGGGGACATCCCAAAACTGTTCCCACAAAGTTGGGAGCATGAAATTGTCCAAAATGGCTTGGTATGCTGATGCCTTAAGAGACCCCTTCACTGGAACTAAGGGGACAAGCCCAACCCTTGAAAAACAACCCCACACCTTAATCCCCCTTCCACCAAACTTTACACTTGGCACAATGTAGTCAGGCAAGTACTGTTCTCCTGGCAACTGCCAAACCCAGACACGTCCGTCGGATTGCCAGTCAGAGAAGCATGTTTAATCACTCCAGAGAACATGTCTCGACTGCTCTAGAATCTAGTGGCGATGTGCTTTACACCACTGCATCCAATGCTTTGCATTGCACTTGGTGATATAAGGCTTGGATGTAGCTGTTCAGCCATGGAAATTCATTCCATGAAGTTCTCTATGCACTGTTGTACTAATCTGAAGGCCACAGGAAGTTTGGAGGTCTTTAGCTATTGACCCTGCAGACATTTGGTGACTTCTGCGCACTGTGCACTCCAGCATGCGCTGACCCTGCTCTGTCATTTTACATGGCCTACTACTTTGTGGCTGAGTTGCTGTTGTTCTCAGTTGCTTCCACTTTGTTATAACACCACTAACAGTTGACTGTGGAATATTTAGTAGCAAGGAAATTTCACAGATGGACTTATTGCACAGGTGGCAACCTATCACAGTACCACGCTTGAATTCACTGAGCTCCTGAGAGCGACCCATTCTTTCACAAATGTTTGTAGAAGCAGTCTGCATGCCTAGGTGCTTGTTGTTATACACCTGTGGGCATGGAGGTGATTGGAACACCTGAATCCAATTATTTGGAGGGGTGTCCCAATACTTTTGCCAATATAGTGTATTACAAATTACCTGATTTTAGAAGTGGCCACAATTTTTTTTTCAGGCTTTTTTTCCTTATTCTATTAATGGTGATCCTGCCAGTAATACACTTCCTGCCCTCGGGTGATAATACTGGGACACTGTACTGTATATTTGGAGAAGCAGTGTTGTTACCCTAGGCTTCCTGTTCCTAATCTTGACTTTAGACCACTTCCTATTCTCCCCATCCCCATAACATAGGGAAAAGTTTTGGTAGTCCACAAAAGAGAAAATGGAAGGGGTGACTAAACTGCTTGAGATTTCAGTGCAGCACAAGGTGAATTATGAGGTCACTGGATTTCTGGCAGGATCAGCATTTTTTTCTGCCAATTTTGATATTGCTGTTTATAAAAACAATCATCCTATTACTACTTGACTACTACTTGACTTAAGCATTATTTGCATAGGTACACTACTTTTGATGCTCTTACCTGTTACCAGAGTTCTGTTATGATCTCTTTCACCCTAAACATTTCCTTGTATTTCTGGTCTCATACTGGTTTAGAATGTTATGATATTGTGTAATAATAATGGGAATGTTTGACCATTCTTCCATAAGCGCATTTGGGAGGTCAGGCACTGATGTCTGATGAGAAGGCCTGGCTCACAGTCACCGCTCTAATTCATCCCAAAGGTGTTCTATCGGGTTGAGTTCAGGACTCTGTGCAGGCCAGTCAAGTTCCTCCACCCCAAACTCGCTCATCCATGTCTTCATGGACCTTGCTTTGTGCACTGGTGTGCAGTCATGTTGGAACAAGAAGGGGCCATCCCCAAACTATTCCCACAAAGTTGGGAGCATGAAATCGTAATTATATCATATTACTATTTGTAGTAATACTTGAAAATAACTGTACAGTTAATAGCTGAACAGGAATATGCTGCATTTTGCCTCTGTGCCTATAAGTACATGCGTCTTTGTTACTGTATATCAGGTATATTGAATTAAAATTTATGGAGATCCGACCGGTAAAAGTTTCTTCCAGAAGAGCTTAGAACCGCGTGTTTTTTTCGGCCCTCTCCTATATTGCAATCCCTTACATCAGTGTCTTCAATCCCCCCCCACACATCAAAGCAGTCTCCTCTGCCCCCCTTCACTCTCCTACCTTAGACAGAGTGGCAGGTGGGAGGCAGAACATTTCTGGACCTAGTGTGGGAGTCACAGCAAAGCACTGAATGTAGTTCGGGAGCGGGAGCTGCCGAAGTAAACTTTTTGTATTAATCAGCAGGTGATTGGCTGCTAGGACCGCCCTGCAACTAAACACCTGCTAGTTAACTTTAAAAGGTAACCCCGGCAGCTCCCGCACTCCTTTCACTGCTCTTCTGTGACTCCCACACTCAGGTGTCCGTTTATGAACCAGCGGTAAATGATCGCTGCTCAGTTCTCCGGAATTCTCGGAGAACACAGTTCTCCTGTGAATGCAGTTTATGAAGCGGTGTAGATCAGTTCTCCAAACGAAGGGAGAACGGTCTACAAACGCTGGAGAACGGTATACAAACGCTGGAAAAACTGCTGCTTTTACTATAATCTCGCGAGATTACAGTAAAAGATCAGTTTACTAAGCAGAGGTAAATTATATCTGCTTAGTTTTCGGTTCCTCCGATTCTCCAGCTCTGGGCTGGAGAATCTGGAGGGAGAACACAGATCTCCAGTGAAGAGCTGAACATGTTCTCCGCTGATCTTCTGAGTGTCATAAACTGTGAATGACCAGAGAATAGCTGCGATCCTCTGAATCGCAGCTATTCTCTGTGTCATAAATGGACAACTCAGTCCAGAAATGTTCTATCTCCCGCTCCCCACGCGGAGGCTGGTGGAAAGAAGCAACTCTTAAATGGCGTGACTGCAGTTCCGGATGGAATAGTGGTTCAGTCCGGATCCAGACTGTGGTCCGCCATTTAGTGATGCCTGCTGTAAAGGCACATTGAGTTTTTTTGTTACCGCAAATGTATGTTGGGGTACAATTCCGAATGAAAGGTAGTGCATCACCATGCGCATACTGTATACCTTCATATTAGCATGTGTTGTGGTAACAAGTTTTACCACAAAGCAGTAGTGTGAATGAGCCCTAAATCTATTAAAGGCAAAAACAACTCTATAAGATGCAGCTATTTCCCAACTCACAGGCTACACCCTAATACTGTATATGGGAGCAGCTGCAATTGAAATGAAGCTGAGTATTTTTATTGTACCAGAATCAATATGCATTACTTGGATTGTGGAATAGAAGAAGAATTATCAATAATTGTTTTTTCCATTATTTAGTTCCATCTCCTGAGGTGCCTCAAAACAGTGGCTGCAATTATGTCAGTTACGGCAATCGTTTTTAATTAAAATTTAAATTTAACTCCTTTTTAATGCTGAACTTCAGGAAATAGATAAACTCTTCCTTGCAGTAGGGCCCTTACACTGTAAGGATTAAATAAATGCTCGTTTAGTCTAGGGGTGCGGGGGTAAAGTATATTACTTCTTATTTCTTTTGCCCCAAGCTATGGACTGTGGGTGGGCCTTAGGTTGTCCCGTGGCTTCATCACCTGCATTAATATAAACAAGTCAAACTGCGCAAATTCCCAGTTCTTTAACTTACAAAGCTGCAAATATTAAAGAGGATATCCTCTCTTCACATAATCATTAATTAATAGAATATTGCACTCTGTATAGCAATGTTACAAACTAAACTTATCATATACCGGTTATTTAATTCACCGGTATATTCATTGTGAAATCACTCATGTCTATATAAAATGATCAAATCAGTGAAAAAAACAAATAAATAGTTACGTACAGTCCATGCAGAAAACGATAGTGTCCGTATAAATGCAATGCTCTACAATCAATAGTGAAGCCATTTTCCAGTTCCGTGAATGTGAAATTAATGCTGTGAATCCTAATCCATCCAATTGATCGCCAATATGTGCACCACCCCCATGTGAATAAATGGAGGCTTACCAGAAACAGGGACCCCTTAATTATATATCATCACCTGCATTGCAGGGCTATTAACTGTACATTATACATAGAAAAGGTGAGCGGGCGAAGGTGGCCCAAAGTGCCTTAGAGAGGTGGCAACACTGGGTTGGTTGCATGGATGGAGGACGCCTGCCAGAGCCAGCCATAAGATAAATATTACACCTTGTCCCTGTACCCCTAGACTAAACAAACATCTAAGCCATGCAGTGCAGGGGGTTTCATTGCAAGGAGAGAATTTGTCTAATTCCCTGGGTTCAGCTTTAACCCTTTTGTAGCCACAGCACGTGAACAGCCCCATCTTGCTGTTATTTTACCATTCAGGTGGGTGGCCAGGGGGGTTGCAGTAAAACCATGGCTCCATCACCTGTTTTACCAGCCCCTGGCTGCCCATCTTTAAGAGCCCTTAGTTAAAGTGTTAGTTCAGTCAAAATCTATCTAAGGCTAAATCTACTCTCACTCCATTCTAAGCCTATTCTGTCTATCCTGTGAAAGAAGAGATGCTTATTCTTACCTATTCTGAAGCCACTCTAGTCCAATCACATGATCAGGTCACAGTGCTGGCTTCAATGAAGAGGCAGCCGACAATGGATGCCCCATAGTAACCCTATGGGCAGGCCTGGACTGGGACCAAGAATAGGCCCGGGCAGTTTAGACAGAGCAGCCCATTTTTTTTTTTAAACCAAATTACAAATAATAACAGCTACCGGTTTCTCGATATCTCATCTTTTAGTTATATTTAGCCTTCTTCAGTCACTATAATTTATCAATTATTTCGAATTATGTAAATATATGATAATAAATGAGAGAATGAATGCAATATGTAAAGTGCTACATTCTTACCGCTTAATGACTGGTTGCTAGAGTTTACTGCACATCATTACCGCTCACTGATTGCTAGAGGTTACTGCACATCATTACAGCTCACTGATTGGTTGATAGACTTTACTGCACATCATTACCACTCACTAACTGGGTGCTAGAGGTTACTGCACATCATTACCACTCACAGATTGGTTGCTAGAGGTTACTGCACATCATTACCACTCACTAACTGGCTACTAGAGGTTACTGCACATCATTACTGCTCACTGATTGGTTACTTGAGGTTACTGCATATTATTACTGCTCATTGACTGGCTGCTAGAGATTACTGCACATAAATGGCAGTGGTTGGGAGGGATGGAATGAGTGGCAATGCTGGTGGCGGGATGGGACCAGTGACAGAGCTGGGGGGATGGAATGAGTGGCAGTGCTTGAGGGTGCGATCACTGGCAGTGCTTGGAGGAATGCAATGAGTGACAGTGCTGGAAGGGGGAGTTGGGATCGGTGACAGTGCTGGAGGGAGGGTAGGATCAGTGGCAGTGCTGGGGGGAATTTATTGAGTGGCTGTACTGGTAGTGGGAGGGATATGATCAGTGGCAGTGGGGGGCTCACTGGCAGTGCTGGGGGGGAATGGAATGAGTGGTGGTGCTGCTGGGGGGGGGGGGGATCAGTGGCAGTGTTGGGGAGAGGGTGGAATCAATGGCAGTGCTGGTGGGTGGATCAGTGGCAATGCTGGGGGGAGGGTGGGCCTTATGGCAGTGCTGGTGGGGGGATCAGTGGCAGTGGGGGAGTGATCACTGGCAGAGCTGGGGGGGAATGGAATGAGTGGCAGCGCTGGGGAGAGGGTGGGATCAATGGCAGTTCTGGTGGGGGGATCAATGGAAATGCTGGGGGGGATGGAATGAGTGGTAATACTGGTGGGGGGGAATCCGTGGCAGTGCTGGGGTTAGGGTGGGATCAATGGTAGTGCTGGTGGGGGGATCACTGGCAGTGCTGGGGGGAGGGAATGGTATGAATGGCAGTGCTGGTGGGGAGGTGGGATAAGTGGCAGCGCTGGGGAGAGGATGGGATCGGTGGCAGTGCAGGGGGG